AGGCTTCCAAACCCTCTTCTTCTTCCCCCTGCATGTCATTCCCAAGAGAAAGCTCCCTGAAAAATCCTCTCCACCCGCTAAGAAGAGGGGAAGTGTGCAGTGAGGGTGCTGAATAGAGCCACTTCCTCATTACTGCTCTTCCGCCCCTTGCCCTCCTGCCTGACCCCAGCCTTGGTGTCCCAGGCAGCTAGAAGGCTTCTCAAAGCCCAGCAGAGCCGGCCCTGGGAGAGAAGGTTTTTGGGGCGGAGGCCAGCGAGCCACTGAGCTGCCACCTGCATCTGATGAACGAGAAACGGGCCAGAATGATGGAAACTGCCCCTTAGCATCCGGAGACCAGCAGGTTCCCCTCGGAGAGAGGAGAGGGAGGCCAACTAGACCCCAGCTGGGTCTGTACACTGCAGTTGTCCTGGCTTGGTGAGCAGGGCCTGAAGGGGCCAAGAGGCAGTGGAGGGGCTGGGGGCGCAGAACCTGAGTGCCTCAGGAGCAGCTCCCACAAGGCCATTTCATCTGCCCAGGCCCTCCAAGGAGGACCAGGCCCGCCTTGCCAAGCGAGAATCTTCTGAATTGATTCATAACCTTTTTTTGTTCAGCTTTGTGTCCTCCTCAGTGCCTAGAATAGAGCTGTTGCTAAATATTTCTTGACTTAAAAGAGCCCATAGGATTGATATTCCACACCCACATCAGTTTCCCCACTCAGGCTCCCTTTTCTGTGTGTGACACGGGAAGGCCTTCCTCCAAGCCCCCCATTGAAGTTTCAACTTATGAGCAGCTGGGAGCGCTGACGTGGCCCCCCATGAGCTTTCACTCCAGGAGAACACTCCCCCCGCTCTCACTCCGCACCGCCTCCATCCACCCCCATCAGTGCCCTCTTGACTCTTGCATGACGTGTGCTTCCACCTGGGAGCACAGAGCTCCGCAGGAGAGCCTCCAAGCCAGAGACCCAGAGCCAAAGGGGAGAGGTGACAGAGGAGAGAGGCAGAGAACTTCTGACCTGGGCCAAAAACTGGTCCGGAGTTGGACCACTCTGGACTTGAGCTTCAACCTAGACAGACCAGGTCCTCCCAGGGAGCCCAGAGCTCCTTTGCACCCATGTGACCAGGGACAAGCACACTGACCTTGGGACAATGGAAGAAACAGTAGTAGGAAAAGAGGATGGAGGGGAAGCAAAGGGACCCCTGCTCCAAAGCCCTTAGAATGACAGGCGTAGAAGCACCTGGCTTCTACTGACCTTCCAGCCACAGGGTGCTCCACCCTCTGTCCTCCCATCACATACGTACTCCACCCTCTGCTCACGCCAAGCTGTTCTCAGCTCTTGGACAGGCCAGGCTTTCTCTTATCAGCAGTTCTCAGTAAATCGTGAAGCCTCCACCATGCAAGTGTCTTCCCCACCCCACTATGCTTGGAGGATGCTGCCCCTCCTTCTGGCCTCAGCTGAGATGCCACCTCCTCTGGGAAGCCTTTCCAGACACCCACACCCCCAGCATGTTGTAGCCCCTCCTCTGTGTTCCCAGAGGGATGTTGCCACCTCAGCCTTATGATGAGCCAGGTCTCCTCATACACCGCATCCTAGTCCCCCCGGGAGGCAGTCGTGTCATTGACCTCATGGTGATGGTGCAGAAGCCAGACCCAGAAAGATCAGCTGACCTCCAGGGAGGACCACCAGGAAGGGGTGACTACAAATTGAACCCAGGTCTGCTTAAAGTGAAGCCCGTGGTTTGCATGTTGCCACTGTACCGTCAGGATTTCCTTGCTGGGAGGTCCTGGAGGTCATCCCGTTCAACCCCTCATCTTACTTAAGAGGAAGCCAAGGAAGGCCTAGAAAAGTTGAGTACCTCCCCCACGACCCGACAGCTGGCTGGCAGTACATGTGATTTCCTGTTAGAACCAGGGCAACGCCCCTGGCCTTCTCCCAACCCACCTCTTCCTACAAGATCCTACCTTGACCCTTGTCCTGAAGGGCCAGGTGGTGTGGAACCAGCCTTGGTACATTATCTACTGAGCTCTTCCCCTGTCCAACCACAGCCTCAGCGCAGGACGTGCCCATCCCCTCCTCAGGTCTCAGGAATCTCCTCACTGCCCCAAGCAGCAGGCCTGAAATACACCAATAAGAAGTGCTAGAAGAAACAGCAGAGAGAGGGGCCACTGGCAGGGGACAGATTCAGTGATGCTGTCTGCTGGGGGCTGAAAACGGCCAAAGGAATTCATTGAGGGAGCTGGAAACCCGACAGTCCACAGGGGCTCTGAGAACTACGTCCCAGGCCACCCAGCCTGTGTTCAGTTGGAGACCACAAGTGGTCTCTCCTCAGCAGGAGGAGTGAGTCCCCATCTCTTTCTATCCTTCCCCTTTTGCCTCATAATACTTTATGCCCAGGAAATGGTTCCTGGTATATTAAAATTTACCTGCTCCTGCTGCCTAAGCACCTTGCCCTCCTGTTTACCCTTGGTGAAGATGAGGCCCGTGGGTACCCTGTACTTTTAATCCACATTCACAGAGCCAAGCTGCCTTCCCAGACAGGTGTCCTCTCGACTCCCTTTCTCTCTCGGGGCTCCTGGCTCCATGTCTGGACAGTAACTCTGACCCTCAAGCAGGGACGTCTAATGGGGTCCGCCATCCCCCTGGAAGGAATCTGTCTACCCCTCCCCAACATTCCAGGAACTCCTCAACATTCCCTGTTTGGGGAGAAGGACGGGGCAGGTGGCACAAAGACACTGACTAGATGCAGAACTACATCCAGAGGGGACGGCTGGCTCTCACAGTAACTAACTGCCTGGGTGCCGGGGGGTTGAAGGTGTACTTTGGACTCCTTTCCCAACAGGGGACACCTGAGGGGACACGTGGAAGCAGAAGAACCACACAGGTGGGAGAAGTGTGTTCCCGAATGAAGGCAGACGGATGAGGCAGCTTAAGCAGATTCCAGCAGCCAGAGGCAGAGCATCCCAGGCGAGGTGAGGGGTAAGGAGCGTCTGCAAGGGTCTGTGCACGTCTGATGTTAGGGAAACATCCGGAGATCGGTGCTCATTAATACTTGCAGATGTGCAAATCAACATCAGCTTAGCTCTCCATCTAGTGGAGTTTCTGCAGCTAGAAAAGGTGCCAACCCATGTCCCAACACACCATTGTACAGGTAGCCCTCAAATCCTTGGGCCCTCCATCTCTTCCCCTTTTAGAATACCTGCTCCAGGTTTCCAGAAGATACCCCAGGCCAGAATAGTAGGAAACGTGTATAGACAGATCCTTACACAGACAGAGGCTCTTAGCAGGGAAGGTCCGAGCCAAGGAGCATGAAGGATTTATAATCAGCAGAGCTCTCAAACTCCACACCCTCACTAAGACGGCCAGAGTAGTTCTGTCTCCAGTCGTGGAGGGTCAGTAGCAGGAGTGGGGCTGGTGGGAGGGCAGGAAATGAAAGGAGGCAGGCTCGCCCTGCCTGGAAGCAGAAGGGACAAGGTGACCTTTTGAGGATTCTTCTACACACAGAATCCCATTTAAGGTCCCTGTACCTGTTCTTGCCACCTCCCCACCCCACCAAGGGCCACTCCTCCCCAAGGAAGGTGGGTAAAAGATAGTTCTGTTAAAACTGCACGTGGGGTGGGTCATCTGAGTGAGGCCAAGAGATAGAAAGCAAACCCTCCCTCCCACCTCCCACCACACCCCCACAGAAAAACAGAAGACCCTTCCACTCTAGTGCCAGCCTTGCTGCCTGAACTTGACATGTCATGTCAGTGGCTCACTGTAGAGCAGGGAAGTGATAACTGTCCTGTCTACCTCAGAGGCGGGAGGGGCTGGGGTGCCCCGTGCGCCGCGCCAGGCAAAGGCAGGGCAGGGAAGGAGCTTGGTGGTTCATGCAGAGCTCCCTCTGGGATGCTTGGCCTGCTTGGCCAGCTCTGGGCCTGGGCCGGGGGTCCCGTGGTCGGGTGCGGCGCGGGAGCCGTGCTCAGAGTTCAGTGGAGGCTGTGTCCGTGGTTAACGTATAAGCTGGGGCCGTGGGGGCAGCGGGACATTCCCCGCCCCAGGGCCACATTCTTGAGGTCACAACAAGTGCGAACTTGTTACAACCTGTGTCGGAGCAGCAGGGGGCAACGAGGGCATGGGGGCGGGGTGGGTGCTGAGGCGCCCCGGGCTGACGGCGGGGGTGCGGAGGGGCAGGGGGTGGGTGGGTCGAGGGTGCGTGCAGAGGCCCGTGCCAGTGGCTGGTGGCTGGACGTGCAGCTGTGTGTGTGCCCAAGGCTGCGCGGTCGGCGCTCACCGGCTGGGGCGTGCGGCGGTAGCCGTGTGTGGGGCCGCATAGATGAGTGGGTGCCTGTGTGTCTCTGCATATATGAGCCCCGCGGTGCGGGGAGGGGGCCAGCGGCAGCCGTGGGCCCAGGCTGGGCATGTGGAACCGAGGACTGGGAAGGCTGGGAAGGCTGGGAGTGCCCCTTCCCCACCGCTGCCTTACAGCACTTGCATTCCAGCTCCATCCACAGACAGCCCACCCGGGAACTTGGCCGCTCCCCACCAGCGCCTTCTTCCTGGCAGGCCCAGGCCGTGGGGTCCCCCTGGCCCTGGGCCCCACCCCCGTGCTCTCTGAGCCCTCCGGACACTGGGGCGGGTGGAGGGGGGGGAAGCTCTGAAAGCAGGTGACTGTTTGGGGGACCTCGGGGACAGAGCCCCCATTGTGCCTGCCCCAGAGCCGCCTCAATGGAGCTCTCTGGCACAAAGGGGCTTTGACAATGGGCAGGACATTAGTATGCAGAGCCAGCCCCTCAGCCCTCTCCCTGTCCCACAGCCCCGGGAGGGAGCTGGGGCGCCGTGGCCCTGCTCTGGACACAGGGGCTGGGGCAGAGCTGAGACTGCAGAGATCTCAGCCCACGGGGGCTCCCCTGGGCAGACAGGGGAGGGACACTAGACTCAGGCCCCCAAACCGGCCACTGGCCAGAAAGGACTTTCTGAGCAGAGAAACACTTCCAGAAGATGCCCCAGGACAGAAAGTAGGAAAGGTACACAGACAGGTCCTTACACAGACAGAGGCTCTTAGCAGGGAAGGTCCGAGCCAAGGATGCAGGGGGCTGCCAAGGGCCAGCGTCGCAGGCCGGGCTCTGGAAAGAAACAGGTGGCAGTCTGAGCCCACCCACTTTATGCCTCAGTTTTCCCATCTATTCAAGGGAATTGTGTGGGCATGAGAGGAAAAGTACAGGAACAGCCAGCCAGGGCTCAGACCTGAGCTCCCACATCTCCAAGCTGTCGGTGCGACGCTGCTGGTCGGGCCTGAACCTCCGTCGCGCAGGAAGGGTGTGTGCTCAGGGTCTGGGGCGTTGGGCTTCTGATGAAGGTGGTCCCAGCAGCCCCACTCTGGGGAATTTAGCCAAAGATCCGCAGTAGCTCTTGCAGGTGCGTCTGTCTCCCCTTGCTGTGTGGAGAGGCTTCTCTCCTCCTGCCCAGGGGACCCCCAGCTCACCCCACTAACAGCCTCAGCACCTCCAGCTGCCTTTCCCAAGGCTCCGGGTGCTGCCCTGCGGGGAGCCAGCGAGAGAGAGAGGAGCACTTGGAGGGGTGGGGGAGCTAAGAGGAGGCGAGGGTCTCAGAAGACCCCACAGACAGTGAGGGGCAGGGAGAGGAGCCGCATGAGAAGCAGTGTAGCCCAGTCACAGAATCCCTCCACCCTGGGCCAGTGAGCCCCAGGAGAGGGTGGGGCCCCTTCACTGAACTGCCCCCCAAAAGGCAGGATAGGAAATGTTTCTGAGTTTGGGCCGGTCCTGTCCTGGTTTTCTTTCTCTTTTCAGTTTCTGTTGATGTCAGGAAGTCCTCCCTGCTAACTGCCCTCAAGGCTTTGTGCTCTACTGCTTGGGCCCTGGATGGCATAATACTAGAAAACTGCTTAGCATAGTGCTGAATAATGTGAGCTCTTCTTAAATTCCAGAGCCTTCTCCTCATTCACTGCGCAGGGGCCCTGGATAGCTCGCCAGCGGTTGCTGGAGGAAAGGTAAGGTCTGCTTCCTTCTCCCTCTCAGAACCTTGTTTTTTCCCCCTCACTGAAAATGCCTGGTGGGCACTGCACAGGGCCAGGAGTTAGAACTCCTGAGTTCAGGGCACGACAACCTGTCAACTTCCCCGGGACGTTGCACAAGTCACCCTCCCTCTGTGGGCTGAGAAGCTCCCAACTGTCAGGTGGGAGGAATCACCTCCTAAGCAACCTACCCATGGGCAGTGAATCAGGGGAAGGCTCTGGTATTTAAGAAGAGCTCACATTATTCAGCACTTTGCTAAGCCCTTTTCTGGTATTATGTCATTTAATTCTCAACAACACTGAAATATAGGCACTTTTTTAAAGTCCCGTTTTACAGAGGAAAAAACGGAAGCACAAAGATGTGAATGACTTGCCCAGGGTCGCACAGCTAGTGAGCAGTAGAACTGAGATGCAAACTCAAGTAGGTCGTCTGTCTCCAGCCCCACGTGCTTATCCACTGCCCCAGGCGGCCTCCCTCGTGAGACATTCAAAAGCCCATGGGCAGCTGAGGATCAGCTGGGATATTCAGACTGACCCAGGGTTGTCCGGAACAGTTTTCCAAGGTTCCCCTAAACTAGTAATTCTCAAAGTGTGGTTCAGGGACCCTGGGGGTTGTGGAGACCCTTTCAAAGGCTCTATGAGGTCAAACCTATCTTCATAATGATGCTATAATGCAAATAATGCCATAATGGCGTGATAATGCCATTTGGTGTTATTTGCTTTTTTTCACTTTCATTCTCTCATGAGTGTTCAGTGGAGTTTTCCAGAAGGTACATGACATATGATATTGCAACATACTGAATGCAGAAGCAGTTACGAGAAATCATCTTTTTTCTATGAAGCTAGACATTAAAATGATTTGTGAAAATGTGACACAATGCCACTCTTACTAAACTTTTTAAATATAACTATTTTTCATTACAAATATATCACTTATATGTTGATGTACAATGAGTTTGTTATTTTTAAGTGAACTAATAAATATTTTACATCTTCTTAGTTCTCATTTCTAACATATCAATAGATATAACCCACATGAACAAAAGCTGGTTGGCATCTTCAATAATTTTTAAGAGCATAAAGAGGTCCTGAGATCAAAAAGTTTGAGAACCACTGCCCTAGACCCAGACATATTCACTCTCTCCTCTTGGCAGCTGTGTGTGTGTTTTTTTTTATCAGAAGGCCAGCCAAGGAGGCTTAGATGTGCCGAGGAAGTGGGTGCTTGGATGTCTTGTTGGGACTAAAATCGGGGTGCAACTGAGTCCCACGGACAGTCCCAGGAAGAATGTAACACTAAGAGGTCAGGCCTACACCCCACTTGGGAGGTGTTCCCACATGTCCCCAAACTTGAAAGTCCCTGCCCAGGGATATGGTGAAGAAGATGGGGCTGTCCCAGACTAGGCCCTGACCTTCACCTCCTTTCCACTCTGGCCGCCTGCTGACAAGCTCAGCGTCAGGCTGGAACAGACCTCCCAGGCAAGGGAAAAAGGTGCTGGAGATGCCCGCATGGATTATTGGGTTTGGGCCGACAGTGCCTAAAGGATTGGAACTTGGGTGTTCTATGGTCGCTGCTTAGAATTTTAGGGTGAAGCATCTCCACAGAATGGGGCAGTTGGTAGGAGAAGAGTCTCTCTTGAAGTTCCCTAGAGAGTTAGATAGTAGGGTCTTTCCTACACCTGTTTCAGGACACTCCTAAGCCTCTAAAGTCAGGGTGCTCCCCCAGAATTAGCAGTCAGAAAGGTTTCCTCCCAAGAGCCAAGCTGCCCAGTAGGCCCTCTGGGCCCTAGCTGCTGGGGAGCCGAGGGAGGCAAGGGATGCCTTTCTTCAGGGGTCTGCGATCTGACGGGCATGGGTCTGACCATAGGAAGCCCCAGTGCAATGAAGGAGACAGGATGTCCCCTCCAGCATTATCCCTGCACCCTGGGCAATGCCATAAACTCAAGCGATGAGGGACAAACAGGGTGCTGAGGAGAAAGGGGGTGCAAGATGACAGAGCAGATAGGGACATGGGTATGGTGGCTGGCAGGACAGGTAAGCTTTGGAATGGTCGAGGGGAGCAGAGTGAAAGAAGGAGCTGGCTCAGCGATTGTGTCAGATACGTGTCCCCAGAACAAGGTCTGAAAAGGGCAGCCCCAAAAGATGGGGGTGCTAGAGGAGATGCAGGAAAGGCTTCTATAGAGTATCTTGAAGACTTCAATTGGAACTGTTCATCTGAAAGCCCACGGGGATGGCTGGGTAGGAAAGGGGCAAGATAAAACTGTCTTCCCAAAGACGATTCTAGTGATAATTTCATGGTGAAGCAAAGGGAGGGAATCAAGGAAAGAGAACGGCTGGAGTTAGGGAGGTCACGAAGGAGGCTGCTGTGGGTATCCAGGCTGATGGGTTAGACAGGACGGGCAGGGACAGGGATGGGCAGGGTCATGGGGAGATAGGGGTAAGATGTCAGGGTAGAGAGAAGCTGGTGTCTTTGGCTGAAAGAGAGAAGTAGCTCAGCACAGGAAGAGGCTGTTTCAGGGAAGGTCAGCAGCTCAGTCCACTCTGAGTCTGTGTGGAAGACAGGGCATCTGCTTGGTGAAAACTCACAGAAAGAAGGGGTTCTGGGTGTGAGGACCAGACCCGGGGACAGCCCACCTGCTGGAATGCAGGCAGGAACTTCGTCTTAACTACTCGACAGTTCCCAAACTTTCCAAGCTCTAGAAGAGGGGGTTGGATAGAGATGTGGGACAGGACCTCAAAAAGACACAGTGAAGGGCCAAGGACAAGGACTGGGGGCCAGGAAGTAGGACAAATAGGAGTCAGAGACATGAGAAACCTTAAGAGAGAGCAAGTGCACTTTCTACATGCTCAGCCCCACTCTAAGCCCTCTACAAATATTGACTCTCTTCTAATCCCCAACCATTACTAGCCTCACTGTAAGGCGGAGAAGTGTACAGTGGCTAAGTGGTGGGACCAGGATTTAAGCCCAGGAAGCCTGACTCTCAGGCTGCGTCTGAACCTCTTTGCCTACTGCCTCTCTGGCGGTGCCAGAACGGGAGAAGCCTGGGATGGCACTGCAGGGTCGTGCCAGCCACCCAGGAGAGGACCCTGGACAGCTGTCACAATAATTCCAACTTAGCTGAGCTTCACAGCGTGCCTCGGAAGCCCTCGTGATGGGCTTTGTGTTTGGTTTTTGCTTTCTGCCCCAGAAAGTGGGCCCACTTTCTTTCCCAATCTCCATGTCAGATTTTCTTTGTATGGGATGTGCTTCCTGAAATCTAACCTAAGCCCTTCAGGCTGCAGCCTCAACTTCTTCCCAGGTCTTCTCCACCAGAGGAAAAGCAGAATGGCACAGACACCCCTTCCGTGTTTCACCTTTTTGGAGGTCGCAAGTGCTAATGCATCCTCCTAAGCCCCTGCTGCTCCAGCCTCTTGCCCCAGCACAACGGTTCAGTTCATACTTCTCTCCCACACCAGAGCCGCCCCTCCCTTCTCCCCACCACCTCAAATCCTGCTCCGAGCTGGCAGACACCCACGGCAGAGTTTTCCCACAATCCCTTTCTCTTTGCCCTTTCAAGGTTCTATTGGGGGAGGGGGTAAAGAGGAGCCCCCAGATGCACGTCTCCATGAAGACTGGCAGCACCGTGTATATCCAACTTGGATGAAGGAAGAAGAGCATTGAACTCAGCCTGTGCAAGAGAGGAAGCCGATGTGGTAAACTCAGAGCTCTGATTCCGGGGAGCTGTCCCCACCCACCACCCCTCACTTGGAACTTGGATTTCGAATACGCCTTCTCCCTAATCTTTCTGCAACTTCCTCTCAACAGTGTGGCTCGGAGTCTCCTTCTCTCTGCCCTTTCCAGGGCCTCACCACTCTCCTGGACAGCTTGGCCTCAGCCTGGATGGTAGCTCTGACCAGTCAGCCGAGAGAAGAATCTAGGCCGGGGAGGGGAAGGAGAGGGGAGGTTTTTCCCTCCATCCTAAGTAATCCTTAACAGGAGAGTGGAGGGGCTCCATCGCCCATGTCAGGTGGCTTGGCCTATCATCTACCTTCTGTGCAGAAACCAAGTATTTTGCTCAGAGGTGCAGGAAGCCTTTCCTCCTTTGAGGAAGTGGTCTCTGCAGGACTCACCCCCAGAGCCCTTTACTCCTTATTTCACTAGGACCAGGATGACTGCAGAGGACTTCAGCTGAGCCCACCTGGATCCAAGTGTCCCAGCCTCTCTGTCCCTAGGGAGGATGTGGGAAGAAGGCCCCGGGATCTTCCACCAGGCCCTTCCCTCTAGCCTAAGCCAAGCAAGCGGGAGCTGTGAATGAGCTCCTGCAGAGGGGCAGGCAGGAGGCACAGGGAGGAGGCAGGAGATGCCAGTGGACAGACAGCCAATCCTCCCATGCAAACTTAAGTGTCTGCACACTGGATGTGGGGAAGATGTTGGGATGATAGGTTTTGTTCCTCAGGGTAGGGGGCTCCAGCAGAATTCTGCATGGGGAAGGAAGGGGACCAGCCTCCTGCCCCCCCACCCCCCAAGCTCCGTGGAGTCATTGCCATTTGATATCCACTGAGACAAGTTGGCTGCCCAGCTCCTGGTGGGGGTGGGGGGATGGCTCAGAAAACAGCAGCTCCTTTCAGGACCCAGGTTGGCAAGGGCTTTGGGAGGCTGGACTGGCCCAGATCACCCCCAACACCCCCTCTCTCCCTCCCTTGCTACCACCACCAAAGGACCAGGGGGCGGGGAAAAGGGAGTTGGCACCGCCTGGGCCATGCCTATTGCCTCCGCAGACCATCCCTGGCGTGAAGCCTTCCTTCCCCCTCCTCCCTCATTTCCTCCTCCCTGAAGTGCCAGCCAGGAGTCGGGACACCTGGTTCCTCCCACACTGGGTCCCCTAGACCCAGTCAAGACCTTGAGGACTTAACAAGCCATCAGCACAGGGTGGTGCCCGTCCTTATGCCAGGGGTGTGTTCAGAAACCTTCAGAGATTTAGGAGGGGTTCTTGGGCTGGAACAAAATGGAACTCACTGGTGGCTGCTGGCCCCCCATCAGGTTGGATTCTTGAGACCCACTCCAGTCCCGCCTCAGCACCCCTAAACAAACGGCTCTCCTCACCATCATCTTCCTTCCACCTATAACTCCCTAAAGCAATCCCAGTGGGGAAAATATTTCCAACACTACAGCCAAGGCAGACTGGCCCAAAATCTTTAGCCAGGATTTGTATTGATAAGCACCATAATCAGGCTTTAAGCCCTGGCCTCCTTCGGGTCCAAATCTGTACTCGCCTCTTCCCCACCTCCAGTTCCCCACCTGCCTCACTCTGCTTAGGGTGCCTCCTTAATAGGGATGAAATCTCAAGTTACCAGAGGCCCTACTCCCACTTTTTCCCAGTTTGGTCTTTCTATCCATCCTAGGGTTCAGTTCTCCTCCCCCATCTCAGGAAGTCGCGCCGCGCCCCCGTGTCTCTCTCCTGCTGACACAGGTGTCCTTAGCTCCTGGTGGGGAGGAGGGCGGGAAGGGGAAGGGGCAGCCCCATCTGGAGGTCAAGCATGATAGACCCCGTTCTGCCCTTCTTACTCTAGCAGGGGTGTCCCTGATCTTTCCTCCTGGAGGTCTCAGCGGGAAGGGGGGTGATTAAAGGGAGAGGCAGCTTGAAGTCGGAGGCCAGTTGGAATGGAGGGAAGATACCAGGTGGGCAGGGGTCCCGGGCACCCAGTTTGCTGCATCTCCCTAATCCAAGTTGGGTGTGTTTTTCTCCCCATGTGTGAACTAGTGACCAGTGGTGGCCACTAGGCGAGCGTCACTGTCTGGGGAAGGGGAAAGGGGCTGGGTGTGGGAGTGGGAGTAACCTGACGATACTGGGGAGAGGGGGAGCTGTGCGGCGTGCCTGTGGGGGATGCATGATCAGTCGCGGGTGGTGGGCACTGGGCACTGCCTTCCGTGGAGGCACTCAGATGCAGGTGCCCATCTGCCCAGTGGGAAGAGGCATCGGGAAACCCACTTCCTTAGCCAAAAGGGCCGAGGTGGCCAAGCTGGGTACAGTTCCCACTTTGGGGAGCCTTCCCAGGAAGGCCTGTTTGGGGCCAACCGGGGTGCGAGGCTGGGGAGCAGGACCTACCGCTGGGGCCAGCCAGGGTGGGGACGGAGGGGTCGGGGGCCCAGCTTTCTCTGGAGAGTGTGGTGGACAGGACCACTCCTCCATCAGGGCCAGGGTCTTACCTTGGGTCCTGGGTGGAGTGGCCCCTCGGATGGGCAGCGGGACAGACCGACGGACGGACGGGCGGGCAGGAGCGAGGAGCGGAGCTGTGCGACGGGCACGGCCGGGACTCTTAAACCCGGAGCTGGGATCAGATAAGGGCTGGTCCGGGGGCCGGGGCCGGGGTCGGGCCGGCCGGGGGCAGAGCTGGGCCGGGCCGAGCCGCCCCCTCCCTCCGCAACGCGGGAGCCAAACTTTGTGTGAATGGAGGGGCCGGGAGGGGGGCCGGGCCGCGGGGGCGGGGGGCTCCGGACAGGCCAATGGGAACGTGGAGCGCCAGGCCCGAGCTGCCGTGATTGGAGGGGCCTGGGCAGGGGGCGGGGCGCAGGGGCGAGGAAGCCGAGTCCCAGACAGAAGGAGGCGCAGGGCAGAGAGCAACGCCCAAAGACGGAGACGCCGCCAGAGTCGGGGAGAAAGGTAGATGGAGAGACGATAGGCGAGGCGATAGCGCTGAGCTGGCACCATGACAGGGGACGAGAGGAGGAAGAAGGAGGCGGCGGTCGTGTCTGAGACGGGGGCCGAGAGCGGAGCCTTTGGGGGCGGGCCTGGGCGGAGTTAATGGGGTGAAAATGAATTCAGGACCGGCCTCGTGGCTTTGCCCGCTGCTCCCGGGGGGCGGCCTGGCGCTGGGCTCCGGAGCCACGGAGTCACACCATTCAGCACCGTTTCCAGGTTGTCCGCTGTCCGCTGAGTATTGGGTGAGGTCCTGGATGCGGAAGGCGCAGAACATCATCCCAGCCCGCAGCGGCCGGGCCTGGAAAGGCAGAGGGCAGAACGCGCAGCCCAAGGGCCCGAGGCGCTGAAAGCTGCAGAAAGGGAAAGATCGCTCTGCTTAGGGGGTCCTGGCAGATGTGGGAGGACAGAGGGGACATCTGATAAGGGCCCGACAGAATGCAGAGGGCTCATGTACTGGGAGATGGTGGGGCGGGCATTGAAGGCAGGGGGAACTGCATTCACAAAGCCCTAGGGAAACAGGAAAATACAAGTCTGCTTGGGAAACAGCAGCAAGCCAGTCCACTGGGGCCAATAGAGAAAGGCTGTGGTTCTCCATCTTTTCATCACCAAGGACCTTTTCATTCACTGATGCCATGTGTTGAGGTTATTATCCATGATCTCCCACCTTTGACACCTACTAAAGAAGAAAATAATTATCTTCCAGTTTTTGCTCATCACATATTTACTAATCAGTGTTACCATATTGAGTACATACACATCTGCTCCCTCTCTATCTCGTCGCTCTGGCTTTGGTCCACAACACCATCCCCTCTCACCGGGTTACTGCAGCAGCCTTCTAAACAGTCTTCTTACCTCCAGTCCTTCTCCACTGTAATAATCCTGCAGATGATGAATTCTTTCATTTCAGAATAAACACTGAAAATACACCATCTCTCTGAAACACAAATCTGACTGTGTCACTTCCCTACTTAAAAGCCTTCAATGACTGCCCATTATCTACAAGTAAAGTCCAAATTCCTAACCATGGAACTGAAGGTCTGTCAGGCCCTAGAGCTAGTGCCATTCCGTCCTCATCTTCCACTGGCCCTATACATCCAAACCGAAGCTCCTTCCTCCTCCAATACCCAACATGCAGTCTTATGTTCCCTTTCTGTGTCCTGTCCCTGGAGCCTTCATCACTGGTAGAGCTCCAACTCATCTCTGAGTTATACCCAAATCTCTGTCCTCAGCCTTCAACTCTTTACAGTTTCAGTTGTCTGCAGGGAATTTCCACTCCAGCTGGACAAGCCCTAAAATGAACCCAACATCTTCCTCTCCAAGGCTTGTGACTTCCTTATTTCTGTGTTTCTCCTGATCAAACAGATTTTAAAACTAAAAGTAATCTTTATATTTCACCCTTACCCTAACCCCATTCCTTGACATGTCAATCAACCAAGCTACCAAATTCTGTCGAGACTCCCTTTGTTAAATCTCTCTAGGATGTCTTTTTCATTTCGTGGCCACTGCCAGGATCAGAAAGATCCAGGACCCAGGCATCCTTCACCCTTCTCTCCAGTCCGCAAGGAGGAGGCAACCTGTTTTCATCATGTGTGTCCCTGTGCCCTTCTATCAAACCCCCAAACCAATGCCCCTTGCCGACTGGTCACAACTCACACTCCTCAGTGTGACATTCAGGGTACTCCTCTGAGGGGAGGATGGGAAGAATTCAAGGCCAGGATGAAAAAGAGACACATTGTGGTGAAGGAGATGTCTCTGGAGAAGTTCCTACCAAAGGGTCTGCACTTTTTCTTAGAACAGAAGAGTCATTTACTAAACCTCAGGGTAGGGACGGGACTGAGAAATTAGAAAGAGTTTAGAAGTTCTTGAACAGCAGGGGTGCGAGGCTGTGGAAAAGTACACAGATAGCTTGTATGGCACTGTAGTGTTCTAAAACTACAAAGAGTAATTTAAATTGAGTGTTTGTTTTAAATTACATTTCATAACACATACACATATATTTATCATGTATATTCCTTTGTATATACCCAATGGCAATTTTAAAGTTTTAAGTCTTTTTATAATAAAAGAGAACTCCTCGACTAGTCACTAGGAGCTCAATAGGGAATCAGTGAAAAAGTCACTGGCAATCAGTGTTGTATTTACCATGCAAGACAGATATATTGTTTGAGATGGGAAAACAAGTTCAGGGAGGTGAAGTGGCTTGCCTATGGCAACAGCCAGAAAGTGTTAGATCTGAAACTTGAATCCACATATGTTTGACTCCAAAGCTTGTCTCAGGGCAATACTAGAGTGAATTGCATAGTTTAAATATAATCTTGTCAAAATGAACACATGTTGGTATGAAAAAGGTGCCAGGGTTTCAATGTCCAGTATCCACCATACAAAGTGGCATTAGGGAGCCATGTTTCTTTGAGGACCTCTCTCTCTTCTCTTGCTTTAGAAAGCTCAGTCTCTTATTTTCAGTTGCTTTCAGACCCACTCCTTCCAACCTTGGCCTCATCTCTTCTTTAACCTTGTTCACAATGGGGCAGGGGCTCCCTCAGAGCACAGAGGAGAAGAGTAGGGGTGAGTAACCTGTTTGGGAAGGAGAATCCACAAGTGGACACAGTGTGAGGGGCTTCTTTGGGGAAAGCAGGTGTGGACAGAAGGGGTGGGAGAAGCTTTGGGTCAGCAGGCATGATGAGGCTCAGAGCAGGCAACGCCCCACAGTCAGAGGACTTGGCTGGGGAGAGTAGACACCGACAGTGTTCACTGCAGGATTCCAAGGCCCCACAAAGCTGAACAGTTTCCATGATTAGTAATGGAATTCCCTTTATTAGTAGCAGGGCCCCTAATAGCTGGATGACTCAGACCACAGGGACTGAGCTACATCCCCCAAGGCACTAATGAATAGTTATTCAGGTATCCCATCTACTTTCAGCAAATGCAATATACACAAACTCATGCTTCTAAGACACAAGGGACACTTAGTCACATTACTAAAAGATTCTTTCCAAAATTTCTTTAACTAGATGGTTCCTCTAGCAGCTTTCCAGTTGGGTCCAATGGATAGAAATTCCATTAACACCCTATACACTGTGGTAGGAGGGAAGCAACAGGGAATAAAGAAACAACCAGGAGCTGGGAGGTTCTGGTTTAGGCCTGTCTGATCTCTCGAGACCCATCCTTTACCTGTGAAGTGCTTGGGAGCCATCCTTTTCCTATAAAGTAAGGACTAATTCGGGACCACCTCCAAGCACTCCGACTTTACAGTCCTGGTCTACTCCACCCAATCCTACAACGCAAGATAGACCTGGGTATGAGCAGGCTGCTGGTTCTCTAGCTCTGCTGCAGACAGCCAGAGGGCCAGAAGGCCTGTCAGCCTCAGGCACCCAGTGGGGCTCCATCTGTCCTGGAACTATGTTCTGCATTCTCCCCATTTCCATCTAATCTCCAGCCACATCCACTGCTTCAACCATATCCTGCCTCTGCTCTGAGTTTTCTAAGGCTTCATCTCTCTTGAATGTATAGAAATTGTTATAATTTCTACTAGATTGGCTTCCCTGCTCCATTAAGCTCATATGCTCAACCATCTCTTTTCCCCATCATACTTCCTCTTCCGCCCCCAAGCTTTTACCCAAGAAGTCACATGATCTTGGTCAAGGAAACCTTCCCAGAATGGTTGATCCCAGGGC